CAATCCGATCAAACAATGTGTATATATACACACATATATATTGTTATTAAATAGTTTAAGATCAATATAATTTGGAAATTATCAAATATCAATCTTTAAATTCTTTGTAAATTTTGCAATTATATATATTATATAATACAAAGTATACTAAAGTATACACAATAATGTTCTCTGATTTAAAATAGAAAATTAATTGTACACTTTTCTAGCCATTGTACATGTTAATGAGAGAGTATAAAGGATAATGGAAATTATTAAGATTTTTGAGGAGAAAGTACAGACTCAAGATCAATTTATTGAAGCAGTCAACGTGTTGGTAAGTAATGATGTGCAATGTGATGTTTTTACAATATTTTTTACAATTAATAATGCATATTTACAATTTATTGTTTTTAATTGCTGAATCGATTTTCAAAATATTGATTATTTCTGTGATATTATAATCTAGTCGTTATCTAGTCGTAACAATAATCAAGAGTTCTTTGCATGTGTACAGGATGTCCCAAAACTCCCGCATTTGGAGTACACTACGTGATTCTTTATGCTAAAAGAAACAACTTTTTCCTTTAGCAAAATTGGGTGCGATGAGTAATTTTTACAATGGATCAGATTAAAAATGACGAATGAGCGCGCGTATGTGCGTAGCGGTCAGGGCTGGCGCGCGTTCCTCAGGCCGGCGCGATCTGATATAATATTTAATCTTTGACGACTTCACGTACTATATTGTTTAAAATATAATAAAAGTTAACAAAATAAGTATTGTTTTCATCCTTTAATGATTTAATAAAAAAATTGTCTGATTTCGTAGTATTATCTCGAAATAAAAATAAATGTAAATGGTGTATGAGTAATATGATATGAACTGAGCATTCTATTATTTTAATTACTGCACAATTGCATATAACAATAAAAAAATATACTGAATTTAACGAATTATTTAGACATTATTATAAAAAAAATGAATTTTTTGGACTTTTCATGATTACGTACTTACGTAATTAATAAATATTTGTTAAATTCAGTATTTTTTATTGTGATATGCAATTGTACATACGACAATAAAAAAATAATTAAATAATAAAATGCCTATAGTTCATACACCATATAATTTACATTTATTTTTATTTCCAGATAATGCTATGAAATCAGACAATTTTTTTATTAAATCGTTACGTAAAGGATGAATACAAATACTTATTTTGTTAACTTGTATTATATTTTAAACAACAGTACGTGAAGTCGTCAAAGATTAAGGCCACGCCGGTCTAAAGAACGCGCGTTAGCCCTGATCGCTACGCACATCCACGCGCTCATTCGTCACTTTAATTTGATTTACTGTAAAAACTACTCGCACGCAATTTTAAAGGAAAAAGTTGTTTCTTTTAACATAAAAAATCACGTAGTGTACTCCAAATGCGGGAGTTTTGGGACACCCTGTATATACTAAACTGATGTAATTGTCATTTTCCATACAAAAACATAATAATGAACTTCATGAAGTGCAGAATGATAAATGCACTATTGCCGAAGTTGCTAAAGTTGTAATGTTTCCAGTTGATGCAGAAAAAATCCAGTTGTCGAGGTAAATTAATATAATTAATTAGAGAGCATCCCGTTTGAGCTACATTAATATTGACCACAATCCCAATTGATCACGTTGCAATTGGCCACGTTGCGATTGACTACATTGATATTGATCATG